ATAGACAAGCCTGGGGAAGCCCAGACCCATTGTGAGGTCCAGGGGCTGTGCCCACCATGTCTTGTTGCCTGAACTCCTCTCATACCCAATCCTTGGTCTATGTTTATAGACTCAATGAAAATACCTTCCTTTCTACTGCCTCTTAATGCTAACAGAATCATTTTGTCCCCTAAGCACAAATAGCCTTCCGGGTTTCTGGGTGGGATGACAACTAGACCAGAAGTCCAGCATGCGCGGCCCCCTTCCTGGCCCATACGTGGCCCGGCTCTTAGTCCAGTCTTTGCTGGTCACTCCCTGAACTCTGAAACGTCAGGGAAGCTGACTTTCTCTTTCTCTTGAGATTGTACTCTTGAGGAGCTCCTGAATTTCCAGGTATAGGGTGACCCCCTCCTCATTAAGGACATGGCTCTCAGACTCATCCCTGGTTCACTTCCTCAGGTTTAGGTCTGTGAGTTCTAAACAGTTTCCCTGTGTTTCTTTGGTTGATATTTTGGTTGATATTTCCCTTTATTTCTTTAGGTTGATGTTATGTTGCGTAATTACGTCGGTTGATTACATTGAGTAAATATATGCTTGTAGATAGAAACATTATAAACTCTTCCCCCATTAAGCTCTAAATAAAGAAACTTGTTTGGGTGCCAATGTACCAACGTTGGTAAAAAGTCTTGACCCTTTTTTTTTTTTTTTTTTGGCAGAAGAGTAGAATCTGAAAAAAAAAAAGAGAGAGAGAGAAGTTCACCTTATAATGCTGTTATTTTCAAATAAACCCTCCTACTTTAAAAATTTGCACAACTAGACCTATACTGAAAATATTTTCAAATCTATCAGATGTTAAATGTATCTGCATGTGTCACTGTGGAGATGGCTACTTCCTCTACCACAGAGCACAGTAATACTCAGCCTCGTCTTCAGCCTAGGTCCCTGGGATGGTGAGGGCAGCCTTGTCTTCAAGACAGAGCCTGACAATCAAGTGGGGACCCCATGCAGAGATGGGGACGTGAGACACACCTACCCTGGCTCAGCATCCCCCTGTGCTCCTAACATCTCCATCTTCCTCACACAGAGGCTGTATCTGGCTAACGTGGGCCCATGATGCTCATTCTCCAGGGCCCAAGAGAAAGTGGTTGAATATACTCTTCCAGCTGCAAAATTGTTTATTTTTAACCCACCATGTTATTATAACAATGTGTTCATAAAGCACAATACTAAGATCTGTCATTAGTTGCACAGTTATGAGTTATTTATAGGAGTGGCAAAATAAGAAGTTACACACACACACACACACACACACACACACACAGATTCAGGCAGGCCAGCATTTAATTACCAAGAGCAAAGTTTGATACTGTAGTGACACAACACAACGATGATGTTGTGTATAATGATAAACACAGCAATGGACCATATAAAGATTTGAAGAAACATAATCGAAACAGGACAAAAATCTCCCGCTCGCCAAATTTTAGAAAATTCTAAAATGAAATAAAAATTTTAAAAACCCCTCAAAACTGAGTTAATTTATAAAATATAATACAAAACATAAAGTTGACATAAATGAAACACTCTTCTTACTCAGGAAATGCACCTTCTTTCTCCGCAACTTAATTTAGTGCACAAAAACCGAGCCTCCCTGTTTGCTGATGGAAAACGTCAGCATCACAACAGTAGAAAAGCACTGGCCTCTCTACTCACAGTGCATCTTTCCTCCAGAGACTCCGTAGGACTCTGCAGGGGGTCCTGAGGGCCCTGAAGTGGAGGCTCTGTGATGGGAGGGGGCACGGATGGCACAGGGCAGGAATGTCTGCAGCGTAGGAATGTTACAGATACAAGCTTCATTCTTCTCTAAAACAAGCCTGTCTTACATGATTTATCTTTATTCTTCTCTACAAAAAAAATAAATAAATAATAAAGCCACAAAGATAGCTGCAAAGAAATATGTGAAATTGTGCAAGGCTAAGATAACAAAGAATATTGGAGGAAAAAGTAATTATGACATCTTCTATCAAAACATTTTAGTCCAAGCATGGTGGCTCATGCCTGTAATCCCAGCATGTTGAGAGGCCAAGGCAAGAGAATCACCTGAGGTCAAGAGTTCAAGACAAGCCTGGGCACAGTAAGAGATCCCATTTTTATTTTTTAAAAAATTAAACACCAGAAACAGATAAACAGCACTGTTCATTCCTAATTATCTTGACAGGGTAAAAATTCTGAAATCATGTCCAAAAAGCTCAGATTTTGAGGTTAAAAGGAGAGGAGGAAAACCATTCAGGAAACGAGGGCTTTGGTCAAGGCTCTTAACAATGAAGAGCAGGACCTCTGAGTCCCTGCCACAGCCACTATATTCTACTGTGTGCCCACACACCACATTAGATGAATGTAATTATGTGATACCCAGGTCCTCCTTCAAGAAAGGAGTATTCGATTCTGCTATTGGGAGACCTCAGTAGACAGCCTCAAGCTGTCAGCAGCTTATAGGTTAGCCTGAGCTGCAGAGCAGCCTCAAACAAGGCTGCCAGGTATAATGGATTAAATAGTGTGATTCCAAAATTCACACCCACCTGAAACCTCAGAACATAATCTTATTGGGAAGTGAAACCTTATTTGCAGATGAAATTAGTTAAGATGAGGTCATACAGGATTAGGAGGGACCCTAAATCCAAAGACTCTTGTCCTTATTAGTACAGAAGATGACACACAGACATACACAAAGCAAAGTTGGCCATAGGATGATGAAGCCAGAGGTTGAAATGATGAAGTTACAAGCCAAGGAATGCCAAGTGTTTCTGGGAGGCAGCAAAAATTACAAGAAGCAAGCATTCTTTTCCGGAGCCTTCAATGTGAGCATGGCCTTGTTGTTATCTTGATTTCCAATTTTGCACATCAGGGTTGTGAAACAATAAATTCTTATTGTATTAAACCATACAGTTTGTGGTCACTTACTATAGCTACTATAGGAAAAAATACAATAACAAATGACATAATGACCAATAAATAGTTAGGAATGTAGATGCCCGTCTGGACTTTATTCTAATTCCATATGCAATGCTGTGAGTCCTGCATCTGCAAATCTTAGCATTCATTGTACTTCCTCCCATTTCCCAATTTCTACAGTAAAGTAACTTTAGACATGAATGATTAAAAAACAAAGCAAGTAGTGTGGGAGTCCTTGGAATGCGTTGCCTTAAGTCACAAGGATTATGGAACACTACAAATGTATATATTTGTTATTTTATGTACCAATTATCTTTTACTGCTTCATTGATCCGTTGTAAAAATCATCTAGGGAGAGAGAAAGTTGATTGGTAAAATGGGTTGAAAAATTAAACAAGATGAACCATATTGATGATGGTCAAAGTTGGCTGTCGGGTGCAAACAATTCATTAGAAAATTTTCTTTGTATTTGTAAGACTCAAAAGTTTCCATGCTAACCAGTGTTTAAAATATCCTTGTTTGTGGTTGTTCTGCTTTTAACAGGTGTATAATGTGGACAAAATGTAAGCTTACACTTTGAATTCACACAGAAGGCCATCTTCTCCCGACAGGCACAGGAGAAGCTGGTGTGGAGAACGTAGGAAAGACAGCAGCTCAGGGTTCCCCAGAACAGAGAAGTGAGTGAGCCTGGAGCCCTGAAAGCAAGGGCAGGGGCTGTGAGTTGGGCTGTGGGGGTGTGTAAGGGCCGCAGTGCGAAGGGCATGTTTCAGAAGCTACAGGATTTGGATTTTATGGTAAGATTGATGAGTTACTGAAGGGGTTTAAGCCAGGTAGTACCTTCCCTGCCTCATCTATCTGAAAGGGATCTCTCTCCAAATACCTTGAGGAGAGAGTGCTTGAGAAAAGTGAGGGATCCTTATTCTAGATTATTCATTAAGCACCTTGTGAGTCTAGAAATCCAGGGGCCACTTGCACAGTTAGCACAAGAGTAGACGTGGCTACATTGAAAAGTAATGGTCTCTGCCTTTGTCTCCTGAGACATTCAGTACTTGCCAGACCACTTTGCAGGTAAAATAAATAGTGATATTTCAAATAACCTGAAAGCATCCAGTAAAAAAAAATAAAGGTGGCAATATCAAGATATAAACAAATTGTATAACATCCAGGACAAATTGTTTACCAAAAAATAGGACACAACTGTGAAGAAAGTGACGTTTTACTTAGGGAGATAATGGCTAACTTCATTAAATAGAGAAATATGGTCACACTGCTCACTGGTAAAGGAACGTCTGCAAAACCTGTGAATGTTCCTACATCACAAAACTGAGTCAAATCTCTATAAAACATACGAAACCATTAGATAAACAACTTTTGCTAAATTGCTGCCTTTAACATGTCACGAATCATTTATTTTTCCTGGAAAATTCTCATTATTCACTGTCCTTGTGAACAACCCCTAGCTGCCCTTCAATCTGTCTCCTCAGCTGACCCCTTTTTCATGATGCCCACCCTGATGGCACATGTGGGCAATTAGATGTTTCTAGAATGCCATGCCGGGGTGCTGACAGCTTTAAAAGTTATATATATATATATGGCTGCGTATCCCACAGACCAAGACTACTTCTGGGAGTGAGAAATCACAGTAATAATGCACAGCATGAGAGAAACAGTGTCTAGGAATCAGACTATGGATGTGTGAATACAGACAGTGACTGGAGAGCTGCAGAGACCAGCTGGGTTCTGAAGTCTCTGAGCCATGGGAAAATGTGTGTCCTGGGACCAGCATCAGATATTGTGGGACTGCCCTGTGGTTCCTACACAGCTTCTCAGTAAGAGAACTCCAGGCTGGGAGCGGGGACCCGTGTTCACTGATGGGGATTCAGCAGCTGTGTCCCCTCTGGCCTGGCAGAGTTCCCTGAGCAGGGACCTGTGTATGGTCTCAACAGGTGCCTCCTCCCAGGGCCTTGCAAGAAGAAAAGCAAACCTTCCTCCTGCTCAGTCTGCAGAGTGAGCTGAGCTGCATCCCCAGGGCTCAGGGAGGGGCTGGGCAGTCCCTGGGTGGAAACACATTTGCATGAACAGCCCCTCCTCTGCAGAGGGTGGGAAGAAAAGGAGGCCTGGGGCAGCCCAGCCCCACTGCGGGGAAAGAGGCTGTGTCCACCATGGCCTGGACTCCTCTCCTCCTCCTGCTCCTCTCTCACTGTACAGGTAGGCACAGGTCTCAGAGACAAGGGTCTGCCACCCAGCCTGATTCTGACTCTTCTGTCAAAGATCGCTAAAACATGTGACCCTGGTTTCTGCCTTAAAACCTATAATTGCCTGTGTTTCCAGGTTCCCTGTCACAGCCTGTGCTGACTCAGCCAACCTCCCTCTCAGCATCTCCTGGAGCATCAGCCAGACTCACCTGCACCTTGCGCAGTGGCATCAGTGTTGGTAGTTACAGGGTACTCTGGTACCAGCAGAAGCCAGGGAATCCTCCCCGGTATCTTCTGAACTACCACACAGACTCAGATAAGGGCCAGGGCTCTGGAGTCCCCAGCCGCTTCTCTGGATCCAAAGATGCTTCGGCCAATGCAGGGATTTTACTCATCTCTGGGCTCCAGTCTGAGGATGAGGCTGACTATTACTGTGCCATTTGGCACAGCAGCGCTTCTCACAGTGACACACACACATGGGGAAGTGGGACAAAAACCTCACCCTGATCTGGGTCTTGTTCCATAACAGTTTTTAAATTTTAAAATAACCGGCCTAGGCACAAACTACATTTGGAAGTACTTTCTAGCTGTAAAAGGCTCTTCTCTCAATTTCCCATCCATCCTTCTGAAGTCTCAGTAAAACAAAGCGAAACCAAACCACCTGATGATCCTGAAGTGTTGGCTGCGTGTCCGTATGTGCTAAACACCAGTGCCTGTGGAGCTGGACTATTTTTTTTCTTGAAAGAAGCAAAATGAGCCTTTCCTAGCTCACAGCATGGTCAGAGCCTGGGGACATGGTAGCAGGTGAACAGTCCCCTGCAGCATGGACTCTGCTCTTCCATTGTACAAGCAGAGACCTCCCTTCCATCCCCAGTAGTCTGTTCTCAGGGCTGTCTGAGGCTCACTGTGTCCCAGGAACAAGGCCCTCAAATATGAAATGCTGCCTGAGGACACAGGTCAGGGAGGAATTCCGGACAGAGAGCTGACCTGGCTCAGTCCTGGGCACCTGCATTTCAGTGGAAATGTCAGGAGATGGGGTTAGGTCTGAGGGTAACTGTGGACCTGAGGCCAGTAAACCTCTATGTAGGACATGAGAGAGTCAAGGGGAGGCTCCACCATGGCTGAGACGAGGCTGAGGCTGCTCCTTGGCCACAGGGGGAGTAGGTCCCATGGATGTGACTTCCCTGCAGCTCATCCCACTTAGGACCACAGGAACTGCTGAGTGTGGGTTTCCTGATCCCTCAGGGCCTGAGTGTGTTCTCTTCTCCTCTCTTACACCATTGGAGGCTCTCACTGAGTCAGGGTCTAGTGGTGAGTCTGTGGAATATCCTGGTACAGAAACTGCCCAATATTTGCTTCAAGTGACTCCTCCACAGGAAACTCTTGAGAAAGCCTCCATCTCAATGTCACCTTTTACTGCACAGGGAGCCGCAGAAACACTGGGCATTCCCTCCCAGAAAGAGCACCTACGTTTGTGACCTAGGACAGCAGTGATGGTCCCTCAGCGGTCCCAGCATGATTCTCCTGCTCTGGGTTTATTCCCTCAGCCTCCTGGACAACACCTGGGCTCCAGCCTGAGGACAGGCTGTTTGTCACTGTCACACAGCTGCATCCTGACTCCATGTTACCAAGGGTTCCTGTTCCATGGGTAAATGAGAGAAGATCCGCCCCACTCATCCTCTCTGCCCATCCCTCCTTTATCTCTGCCTGTGACCAACACCAGATCATGTCAAGGCTTCTGCTGTCACTTATGTTACTGAAAGCAAAGCAAGAGTTCAGTGACAGTAACACCTTTTTTTACTGGTCTTCCAATGTAAAGAGAATCAACTTGTTTCTAGAAGCAAAAGGAGCTGCCCACACATGGTGGGTGTGGATGAGGTGGGGATGACAAGAAAGAATCCAGCCTGTGTGACCCAGAAGTCCAGGAGCCTTCGGACTCGTCCCAAAGGTGTCCCCTCCTTTTGGTGCAGGTATGTCGACCATTTCCTGAACTGAAACTGTTGGAGAGATGACAAGAAAGGGGAATCCAGCCTGTGTGACCCAGAGACCCGAATGTGAGAGAGGAAGTCTGATGCTTAAGAAAACGTGGGCTCAGCATTCTGAGAGGTGGCATGACCTAGTGCTGGTGTAGAAGAGAAGCAAGAGAGATGCTCAGCCTCAGGTGGCCCAGGCACAGTGGTCCTGTCAAAGGGCTGAGCTCTCTGCAACATGGATATCCTGCAGAGACATCCCTGGGGAGGCTGTGATCCCAGAATGACGCAAAAATGCTAATGGAAGTGAACAGGCGATGGTTTATGGGGGAATGAGGAGATGGGTGTGGGGTCAGATGGGGTAAGGAGGGTGCAGCCTGAAGAGCAGACTGTCCATTGTGACTCATAGGAGGAGGCCCAGGGCCTAGAGCAGTGACAAAAGGAGGACCAGCAAGGACCTTGACCCTGAAGACACATAGGGACTGGAGTTTTGGTCTGTCTGTGAGGGTCCCTGTGGAGGATCACATAAAAAATCCATAGGCAGGGTCCTCTGCTCAGCGTTCCCTGTCCCAGCAGTTGCCCCTTCTTCCCGGAACCTCTGGGTGTCCAGGTTCCTTAGCTGTGGACCTGTTCTTCTCTCTGTCCTCAGCCTAAGAGCTGATGGGGCATCCACCACGAAGCGCATCCGTGGGCAGGGAGGGGGCCATGGACAGCCTTGTCCTGTATGTGAGACACCGCTCAGCCTCGGCGACCCCCATTCATTACAGTGGGAGGAAAGGAAAACAAAATTCCCTGGGAACATCTATGCATCACCAAAGAAAAAGCAAAGAGAAGGAAACAGGAAGCGAAACCCAGATCTAGTAGCTCATTTCTACTTGGAAATAAATAAAACTTAATATGCCTGATGTGTTATGTAAGCACAATAAACATTTTAAGAACTATAAAAATTATGTAAAAAACTTGGCCATCACAAAAAGGAACATTTAAAATAATGACACCCTTGAAATGCGATCCCAAAATACAGCATACGCTTTACTTCAGTTACATATATGGATTGGTTTTATTTAAATGTCTATAATAAATCTCACTATTTCGTTGTTTAAATGGAGCATTTAAAATCTCAGTGTGGCTGGGTGCGATGGCTGATGCCTGTAATCCTAGCACTTTGGGAGTCTGAGGTGAGCTGATTACAAGGTCAGGAGTTCGAGACCAGCCTGGCCAACATGGTGAAACCCCATCTCTACCAAGAAAATACAAAAATTAGCCTGGCACAGTGACATATGCCTGTAATTCCAGCTACTTGGGAGGTGGAGGCAGGAGAATTGCTTGAACCTGATAGGCGGAGGTTGCATTCAGCTGAGATGGCACCTCTGCACTCTAGCCTGGGCAACCGACCAGGACTCTGTCTCAAAAAAAAAAAAAATTAAAAAAAATCTCGTTGTACAGGAACTGCCTGGTGATACATTCACCGTTAAATATCAACATAACCATCCAGCTGTTTTCCTACATCCCCATAAAATTCCCCAAACAAATATTTATTAAGAGTCCAGGGTGTATCATGCCGAACTCATGCAGTCATAGACATCATCTATTTCATTTTCCATTTTGATTAACAGAATTATCTTTTTTTCTTAAGCTTATTGTTTTTAGTTTATTAGATTCTAGATGTCATTATGGATCAAAGATGAATAATTTCTATCACCTTCAAGCCACCCCCACCACACTCACTACTGAATTTGAACCATAACTTTTCCCTGGAAATCCTAGTTGGGGGCTTGATACTAAGAGCAATCACATATCAGGCTCACCTGAGGACAGACTCTGTTCATCAAACCAAGTTAAAATTTTAATTCTTCCCATCTTCAAAGACTGAACATCTTTGCTGTTTTTGCTCGTAAGTGAGAACCTCCAAAGACATTTGCCAAGATCCCCCACAGACTGGCATTCAGTGCTTGGAGGACAGACTCCTAGGCAAGATCCCTGGTCACAGTATCCAGATGAGTGTGACTGCAAATCTGGGGAAGTAGAGGGAGAACAAAGATTTACCAGAATAACCCTCTGAGAATCCCTCCCCAGGGCATCCTAGAGGGAAGAGCTCCCTTTCTCCTCAGCACTGCAGGATCCACAGAGGAAGGAGAGAGCTCTGGCCACCAGGACGGAGCCACATGAGAGGAGAGGACCCGGTGTCCAATACAGGTGGGGAACTGAGTCCACCGGGCTGGTCCCCACTCTGGGCTTGATCCTGAAATAAAAGGACTTTGTGTAGACATCACTTGAGTCCTCTACAAAGTACAGCCAAAGAACTATGGATAGATTCACTACTGAGGTGTCCAGTAGACCGTGAAGACTGCCCTGAGGTCACAGGAAGGAGACACAGGTGCCACCTTACTAAGCCTGGACTTGAGAGAGGGGGCAGTGGACAGAATCTGGGGAGGCAGTGGTGAATCTCGGCGACTCTGGTCACCTGATCATAGAATGGTTTGCCTTAGTCTGGACACTAGGGGGCGCTTGGGGCCCATTTCTGAGAAGACTCGGGGTAATCAGAGCAGAACCAGGCACCGGCCCTGCCTGATGTCCTCTGCTCAGGGCTGACAGCTGTGTCCTGTGTCCTCCCCGCCCTCTGGGAGCACAAAACTCCACCCCTGCCACCCCCTGACATCCTCAAGCCCAGGAGCCTGGCCCAGAGCTCAGGGCGGGGTCAAAAAGCTGGGGGCTCTGATTTGCATGGTTGGACTCTCCCCTTCTCAGAGTATGAAGACAGGGAGAGATTTGGGGGAAGCTCAGCTTCAGCTGTGGGTACAGAAGGCAGGACTCAGGACAATCTCCAGCATGGCCTGGTTCCCTCTCCTCCTCACCCTCCTTACTCACTGTGCAGGTGACAGAATTCGGGGCCAGGAGAGGGGTGCTGGGAAGTCCATGGGACCCTGCTTTCTCCTCTTTTCTCCTTGTGTCTCTTGTCAATCACCATGTGTGTGTCTCTTTCACTTCCAGGGTGCTGGGCCCAGTCTGTGTTGACTCAGCCACCCTCAGCGTCTGGGGCTCCCGGGCAGAGTGTCACCATCTCTTGCTCTGGAAGCAGCTCCAACATTGGAAGTAATTCTGTATACTGGTACCAGCAGTTCCCAGGAACGGCCCCCAAACTCCTCATCTATTATAGTAATCAGCGACCCTCAGGGGTCCCTGACCGATTCTCTGGCTCCAAGTCTGGCACCTCAGCCTCCCTGACCATCAGTGGGCTCCAGTCTGAGGATGAGGCTGATTATTACTGTGCAGCATGGGATGACAGCCTGAGCGGTCCCACAGTGCTCCAGGCCCAGGGGGAAGTGAGACAAGAACCTCCTTCCTCCTCTGCCAGGAGGGTGAGCCCCCGGCACCTGCTGCTCAGGCCTGGCCTGTGACTTCTGCTGCTGTAGCTTCCCCCATGGGTCCAGGGGCATCCAGGGTCCTGCCTGAGAGTGGAGGCTCCACCTCCCCTTTAGTTCTCAGAGTCAGGACCAGGGCACCCAGGAAACAGAACATCCTGCTCCCTGCAGCTTGAAACACAGGGTGTCTGCACTGAGGTCCTGGGCTGAGGTGGCAGGTCTATCTGTGTTATCACAGACTCACCCCTGATGGGGAATGTGTGTCTCCGTCATCCTCATTTTCCCATTTCCAGGAGTTTCCAGAGTGGTGTCTTCCTCCCCCCACTCCCTAGTGTGAATCCCTGTGCTTCCTTTCTCCCTAGCACATTCTTTTTAAATAAAATTCCTTTCATGTAGGAACAATGCATATCTAATAAACCACCCATATTTGTAATAGGAAATTAGACAAATTTTGACATTTTTCTCATCCTTGAATACATCACCAGCAACAGGGAGTTATGCAACCTGTGACCAACCCCAGCAACACCTCATGACCCTTTGTCATCTCCCTCCCTCCCTTCCCCAGTGCTCCCCTGTGCAACCACAGATCTGCCTCTGTCACTATTGTTTTGTTTTCATTTTCTGGAATGCATCAGTGTTATCAAAAATTATCTTTCCATTTGTACTGGCTTTTATTCACTCTGCAAACTTCTTTTTGAGATTCTTCCTGTTCTTGCTGAATTGCACCCATCCCATAGAGGGCTCATTACTACCTTTGAGAGCTATTAGGTTGATTATTCCTGATTTTATTTATTTATTTTAAAGTTTGAATTTATCATGCATCAAAATGAAACTCTTGGAGTGATGTTCATCTCAGGTGACAGGAGAGTCTGGGATGGCTTGTCCGGATTCTTCCTTCCTCATCTCTTGCCTCTGGTTCTCTTTACAGTGGAAGAGGTTCTCATATTCTATTTATTTACTTATTTATTTATTTGGGTTTTAAAGGATTTTAGTGTTTTTTTTCTGTAATTATTAATTGTTTTTTATTTTAATAGGTTTTTAGGAAACCGGTGGTGTTTGGTTCCATAAATAAGTTCTTTAGTTTTAATTTCTGAGATTTTGGTGCACTCATCACCCAAGCAGTGTACTATGTACCCAGGGAGTAGTCTTTTATCCCTCACCCCTCTTCTACCATTTCCTCCCAGTCCCCAAAGTCCGTTGTATCGTTGTTATGCCTTTGTGTTCTCATAGCTTATCCACCACTTATGAGTGAGAACATACCACGTTTTGTTTTCAATTCCTGAGTTACTGCACTGAGAATAACAGTTTCCAATACCATCCAGGTTGCTGTGAATACCATTATTTTGTTCCTTTTTATGGCTGCATAGTATTCCATGACATGCATGTATACATAACATTTTCTTTATCCACTTGTTGATTTATGAGCACTTGGGCTGGTTCCATGTTCTTGCAATTGCAAATTGTGCTACTACAAACATGCATGTGCAACTATCATTTTTGTATAATGATTTGTTTCCTCTGGGTACATGCCTAGTTGTGAAATTGCTGGATCAAATGATACATCTATTTTTAGTTCCTTACAGAATCTCCACCCTGTTTTCCATAGTGGATTTACTAGTTTACATTCCCACCAACAATGTAAAAGTGTTTTGTTTTCACCACATCCATACCAACATCTATTATTGACCATTCTTGTGGTATTAAGGTGGTTTTATATTGTGGTTTTAATTGGCATTTCCCTGATCACTGGTGATGCTGAGCATTTTTGTTTATGTCTATTGGTCATTCGTATATCTTCTTTTGAGAATTGTTTATTTACATCCTTAGCCTAGTTTTCGATGAGATTGCTTAGTTTTTTCTTGGTAATTTGTTTGAATTATTTGTAGATTCTAGACATTAGTCAGTTGGTGGATGTATAGATTGTGAAGATTTTCTTCCAGTCTGTGGGTTGTCTGTTAACTCTGCTGATTATTTCTTTTGCTGAGCAGAAGCTTTTTAGTTTCATTAAGTACCATCTATTTATCTTTGTTTTTGTTGCTTTTACTTTTGGGTCCTTGGTCTGAAGTCTTTGCCTAAACCAATGTCTAGAGAAGCTTTTCTGATGTTATCTTCTAGAATTTTTATGGTTTCAGGCCTTAGATTTAAGTCTTTGATTCATCTTGAGTTGATTTTGTATAATATGAGAGATAGGGATCTCACTTTCTTCTTCTACCTTTGACTTGCCAATTATCCCAGCACCATTCATTGAACAGGCTGTCCTGGAGTATAGTTTGAAGTTGGGTAATCTGATAACTCTGGATTTGTTGTCGTTGTTGTTGTTTGTTTGTTTTTTCTTAGTTTTGCTTTGGCTATGCAGGTCTTTTTTGGTTCCATATGAATTTTAGGATTGTTTTTTCTAGTTCTGTGATAAATAATGTTGTTATTTTGATGGGAATTGCATTGAATTTCTAGATTGCTTTGGGTAGATGATAATTTTCACCATATTGATTCTACCCATTCATGAGCATGGTATGTGTTTTTAGTGTTATCTATGATGTCATTCAGCAGTGTTTTGTAGTTTTCTTTGTAGAGGTCTTTCATCTCCTTGGTTAGGAGTATTTGTAAGTATTTTTCTTTCTTTGTAGCTATTTGTCAAGGGGGTTGAGTTCTTGATTTGATTCTCAGCTTGGTTGCTGTAGTGTAGCAGAGCTACACAACATTTGTGTGTCTTAATTTTGTATCCTGAAAGTTTGCTGAATTCATTCACCAGTTCTCGGAGCGTTTGGGATGAGTCTTTAAGGTTTTCTAGGTATATGATCATATTATAAGCAAACAGTGACAGTGTGACTTCCACTTTACCAATTTGGATGCCCTTAATTTCTTTCTCTTGTCTGATTGCTCTGGCTAAGACTTCCAGTACCATGTTGAATGGAAGTGGTGAAAGTGGTCATTCTTGTCTTGTTCCAGTTCTCAGAAGAAATGATTTTAAATTTTTCTGTTCAGTATAATCTTGGCCATGGGTTTGTAATAGAGGACTTGTTACCATAAGGAATGTCTCTTCTGTGCCAATTTTGCAGAGGGTTTTAATCATGAAGTGATACTGGATTTTGTCAAGTACTTTTTCTGCATCTATTGAGATAAACATGGGATCTTTGTTTTAATTCTGATTATGTGGTATATTATATTTACTGACTTTGTATGTTAACCCATTCCTGCATCCTTGGTAAAAAACCCACTTCATCATGGTGGACTGTGATTTGATAGCATGGCTATCCCTTTGTCCAGTGAGACACCAAACTCCAGGGCCCTTTTGATGCTGAAGGTGGGTGGGCTGAGAGTAGGGGGACACCTACCCTGAGATCCCAGAGCTTCCAGGACAGGACTTGTCAGTCTGAAAAAGGGGAACACTCTTGAGTGGGGAAGAAGGGGGCATCTCTGGCCACAGGCCTGCATTTCTGGTGGCTTCCCCTTCACCAAACTGCGCTCTCTGCTCTGATGTCTGTCAGAGAATCTCCTTCAGTTAGGCTAAGATCCCAGGACTTTACTAAAAATAGCACCATGAACCAGATAGATTTGTAATGGTACTAAAATTCTCTGCAGAGCAGTGAGTGCAAATGCAGCTAAACAGCGGCCCTCGCAGTCATAGCTCTGGTGCGGAAGTAAAAGACAAAGGCAGAGAGAAACTGAAAGGCTCAGTAGGTGTGGGACTGGGGCAGCACTGTGTGCTGCAGGCTTGTCCTTGAGGTATCTACAGGTAAGAACAGCTGAGAAGCCATCCTGTTGTGATCCTGTATCATCTGCTCACTGCTCACTGGGTTCAGCAGCTGTATCCTCACAGGGAACCAGATTCAGCCAACTTGGCCTTCTCCACCCCACCTGGGAAATGTACTCTGGTGTCTGTCTGTACTGAGGTTCTATGAAGGGGCTGGCAGACAAGGAGAGGGGGCTGATTTGCATGAAGAAACCATTGCACACCGTTTCCTTTCATTGAAAACCCATTAATGGATACTCTGGAGCCATCCATAGAAGCCTAGATTGTCTCCTAAATTTGGGAGTTATGAAGGAGTCATTCCTCATCAATCTACAGGAAGAGGGGCCATCAGCAGCAGGTGGTCAGAGTGAGGGAGAAACTGGTTTCTTTGAGAGACTCATCAACACAGCCACCAACTCTGGGACAAGTGGGGCACTTGCTGTAACAGTCACCCCAAGATACTCACAAAAGTCTGGGCTTAGTCCCCTCACCTTATTGCTTCTGATTCTGGTCCATGCCTCTGTTTTCCCTGGACCCTCAGCCCATGTCTGGGTCCAGGGTGGCAGGGGTAGCTCCATCTCAGTCAACGTCTACAGAGATGAAACATCTATTATGGCTTGGAGTAGTGTCCACAGTTGTACCTATGAGGGCCTCTCCTGCTCCCCCATCCTCTCACACAGGTGACCACTGCTGTGTTTCTGATGGATAGACCCAGCATCATTCACAATAGCTAAAAGGTGGAGGCAGCACAAGTGTCATCTATTGGATAAACAGGATATAGTATACACACACAAGGGAAAATTATTCAGCCTTAAACAGAAAGTTCTGACCCATGCGATGGCATGGATGAACCCTAAAGACATGATGCCAGCAGAAATAAGCTGGTTTCAAAAGGACAAAAGGTGTCTGTTTGGCCTTATATGGGGTATCTAGTGTAGTGAAATCCATAGGGACAAGAAGTGGAATGATGTTTTCCAGGTATGAAGTTTTGGTTTGGGAAGATGAAGAATTCCTGGAGATGAATGGTGGCACTGTGGTTATAAAACAATGTTAATTTACTTAATGACACTGAAGCAAACACTTGAAAATGGTTAAAAAAATGTATTTTGTGTTTGAATAATTTACCACAGTCAAACAGAAAAAGATTTATATTCGGTGCAGTTTATCTACTTCCAAGAAAAATAAAAACGTACAGGAATAGGAGAGTGTGCCTGTGTATCCAGAACACCTTTCCTTTTGTGCCAGCCCCACAGCACCCTAACAGACAAATAGAGTTGGAGGTGCCTCATTACAAGTGACACAAAAT